AACGTTGTACTGCTGAGCGGAATTAAGTTCTAAGCTCCCACTATTCAGCAGGTGGCCTCCATTATGTCAGAGACCTCCTTACACAACTCTTTTAACGACGCCGATAAGGCTGATTGAGCAACTTTGAGCTGACAGCTAAGAACCCGTCCCGTTCTTATATCTAGAGTCATTGGTGTGTTTTTCGGGGCGGTATCGCCCGGCCCGCATCGGTCGCCGGTTCGGGACCCGACCCAGATTTATCTCGCGGCCTCCGGCAGCGGGCAGGGCCGGCACAGCTAATCAGAACCAAACAACCGGCTCCGTCCGGCCGAGGCGAGCGGCTCGCCGCTGCGGCTGCCTCGCGGCTCACGACTGCGGCTGCCTCGCGGCTCGGGACTGCGGCTGCCTTGCGGCTCGCCGCTGCGGCTGCCTCGCGGCTCGGGGCTGCGGCTGCCTCGCGGCTCGGGACTGCGGCTGCCTCGCGGCTCGCCGCTGCGGCTGCCTCGCGGCTTGCCGGCTGCCTCACGGCTCGGGGCTGCGGCTGCCTCGCGACTCAGGGCTGTAGCTGCCTCGCGACTCGAGGCTGTAGCTGCCTCGCGGCTCGAGGCTGTAGCTGCCTCGCGGCTCGGGGCTGCGGCTGCCTCGCGGTTCGCCGCTGCGGCCGCCTCGCGGCTCACGACTGCGGCTGCCTCGCAGCTCGGGGCTGCGGCTGCCTCGCGACTCACTGACGCTGATACGCCGCCGATCGGCGGTCCGGGCCGGGTGGACAAGGTCGACGCTCGGCGGCTCTGGGCCGTGATGGCGTGCCAGCGGACAGTAGAAGCGACGTGCATTTTTACTTGCGTGTGACGTGTTGGCAGGCGGTAAAGGTGACGTGCCTCTTTACAGCAGCAGCAGTAGACGTGACGTGCTTTTCACAACCGTGCGTGCTTATGGTCGATTGTGTGAACTCCCTGCTGATGGTTGTGTATCTGTGATGTGTCTTTCAGCAGGGTGATCATGTGCATGCCATTGTAATCATAACATCACGTCAACAGGACTAATGAAAGCATGCATGCGATGGGTATATGACGTATTGCGTGGACAAAATTACCCTGGATGGCCGAAGTTTATGAGCAAGTGTTGCAGGCGTGCGGATCTTTCGCCTGCAGAGGCACGCACGTGGCACCAAACTGCAAATTGATGCACGCCATTGCGTGCGGAGATCTACTGACCCCATCTTCCCGCGAACAAAGGTCTCGTCAGGAGGCGACGAGAAGTGCCCTGGTGGGGAGCCTCGACAGGAGCCCTTCGGAAGCTCGCACAGGGGCCTTCAGCGGGCTCGGCTCTCAGGGAACCCCCGTGAGGTGCCTCCGGGGACTACGCCAGGAGATCTCGTACCGCTGTGTTAGGAAGCATCAGATGCGTGTCCGGTGCCACGGTCCCCACAGTGTCATGCAGGCAAAATTTTCCTCAGGGGGGTAGGAAATGCCAAAAAAATTGAGCTCTCGAGAACTGGGGGGGGGGCAAGGCCCCTCCCCCCCCCCCATACACACACCACACACACTCCTGGACGCGTCTCTGTTGCAGACTCCTGTAATGATTATTTTGCCTTTTCACGTGGTTGTGAGTTGTTTTAGGAGGTCCGTAAGGTATGAAATTCTTTGCAGTTGCCTTTCGTGTTGACGTCTCAGCTTTTCTACGGCACTCGACGTTTCAGTGTGCTGCAGTGGGCTGTGTGAAATCAGGCAGACATGTGCCTGAGGCCCGGTATGGACCCCATGATCCGATACAAGAATCTTATAAGCAGATAACCTTATGGGATCATAAACCCAAGCCATGAAATCCCAACCCATCAGAACCCATGGGATGTAGACCCTTGTTTGGCGCGCCCTTATTTCGTTTTCTTGACGATGTTTGGGGTCCCCGCATTTGCACGGGCCCCTGTCTGTCCATCACCGTTGTGCGTGTCTTTTAAGTTCATGCGCACCTCTACCTATCAAACACAGACACACCAAACCAGTTTTAAGTTTTGTTTCCTGTCCTGAAAGCTAGAGACGGACGGAGCTAAAGAAAGAGGAACAATAAAGCTGAACGGCAGTAGCACATATTTCTGAAGCAAACGACAGGAAAAACTATTGTGACTAATGCTCCAGCCCGTAATCACGCAGCGGGCAATCCGATTTTACAACAATGTAGCAATCAAACTGGAATGTCAAAGGAGAAAAAATGATGTTAAAACCTGCATATCACCGCGCCGCTTGTTCTTGCCGCGCGAATGAAAGCCAATTCCCACGCCACAGGCCGTCGGCGCGGCGGCGGCGGCAGCGGGGCGGCGCCGCCGCGCCGAGAGACAATCACCGGGGATGTGACGTCACAAGGGCCGCGCCCCAATCCGCTGGCGCCCGGCTGCGGCCGCCGCTCGCCGCCCCTTCCTGCATGACCCCTCGAAAGAGTCAGCCGATCGTTGAGTTTCCGCGGGAAATGCCCCGGCCAGGCGCCACTCCGCGCTTGTTGGAGCCGATTTTGGTCTTTGTGGGGTGTTAACGTCGTGCTGTCCGAAGGCACGCCGTGTGCACTGACCGCAAAAACCCGGTACGGCAGTCATTTGCGCTATGACGAGGTACTTTGCACCGAGGCATGGGGAACTCTGGTACACCGATGCATGTTGTAATTTGCATGCATGTGAAAAAAGTTTCCTTTCAGGTATCTATGAGGCCGGCTTTGGTGGCCCTGGCACTTGCTCAACATTTGTCAAGTTACGGCCAGCAAATAACGCCCAACAAACAACGTGGCTATAGCACGGTATTAATGCTGTCAGGATTTCACAGATTCATTTGAAGCTTTTTTTGAAGAGGAAGATAGCGAGTTTCAGCACACTGCAGGCCGTGCCGACCCTGGGAACGGCACTGCGTTAAACCGCGCAGGGTTTGGCTGGCTACAGCTGGTGAGCCCTCCTCCTGCCCTGAGACCATGTTCCCTGTCTGACACGCATGTCTCGCGCCGGTAAACCGCCCCGCTCATCTTGTCCGGCGCGAATAAATATTTGAAACTGCGCTCGCGGGAGGGCCGTGGACGTATTTCACACTCGGCTCGGAAAATAAACAGCGGTGTCGCGGATTTTTACTATCGCGCTGGCGGCGGGCCGCTCCCAACTGACAAATGAAGCGACTGTGTACCTTGGGGCGCAATCGGCGCACGGACATCGGCGCGCCGGAGCGAGCCGGGGTCTGTTACTCCGTGCCCGACTCACGGGAGGGTCGTGATCGATGTGCAGCATTCCGCGCTCCGCTCCTACACGTTCGTCCGTCTTCGAAAGCGTCGCGCTGTCGAGGGCAGGCAAGTTTACGGCCATTGGCCGCCGCAGCGGGGGGACGCCATCCATCGCGCGGGCCGCGGGACACGCGGCAAATCTTAATTTATTTTCATTGGTCGCGCCCATGGGGACGGAACCAGCCTCGATCGGAATCTCGTATTTTACATGCGCGGCGCCCGCCGACAGCGCCCCTGGCGGGCGGGCGTCGAACGTTGGCCGGCCGGCCGCGCCGGGCGTCGGTATTCAGACAGCCGACCGGCGCCGAGCGGGGAGGACGCGCGCGTCCGCCGGCCGGGACTGATCAGCTGATAGTGACGCGGGAGCCCGGGATCGTTCAGTGCTTCGGCGGCGGCATGTCAGCACAGCTGAGGCGCGTGTTGCCGACTCTGAATGCGCGCAGCCATGGTCCCGGACGTGCACCAGACGGCCTCGGGCGTGCCGTTCGGGCCGGCGGCTTCACACCACGCCCAAACGCTGGAGGCTGTGTGGCGGCACGGCCCGGCCGGCTTCTACGAGCCCGCCAAGGAGCTGGCGGCGGCCGCCTGCGGCCTCTGGTCGGCCAAGGAGCTGTGCGGTGCGCCCGGAGCGGCCGGCCGGGCCTCTACCCTCTGAGGACGAACGTGTGCGGGCAAGACGCAGGCCAGCCTGCACCCGGGAATGAGTGAAGTGTGCGGCGCGCTCAGCCAGACTAGTCTGTACCCAGGGAGAGGACTGAGGCGTGCGGCGCACCGGGCCAGGACTAGTCTGTACTCGGGGAGGAGCCAACAGGCGCGCGGCGCGGCCGGCCCGCCCAGTCTGTACCCGGGCCGGGCGGTGCCGGTGCGGCCGGCACCGCCGGCGCCACTCTGCTGCGCGCCGCTGCCGCTCCAGCCGCGTCAGCTCCTCCACGGACGCCGCCAGGGACCTGAGTCAGCCGCTGTTCGTCGACACCACCGTCGAATACGACCTGCCGAAGGAGGCGTACCCGCCGGGAGAACAGCGAGCCGCTGCTGATCGTGCACCCGCAGTACTTCGAGCACCTGCGGCACCGGGCGCACGCTCGGCTCGGCCTGCGTCTGCAAGCTGTGCAACTTCTACGGCCGCCGGATGCCGCTGGAGGCGTGCGCGCCGCCGCCGGCCGCCCCCGCCGTCACCGCCACCGCTGCCGCTTGTGCCGCCGGCCTTCCAGAGGCCGGGCGTGACGTGCGACTGGCCGCGCTTCCAGCAAGCAGCAGCAGCAGCAAGCAGCAGCAGCAGCAGCCACAGCTTCGGCCGGCTCCTCAGCACGCAGCTCAGGCCGGTGCCCCTCCAGCACCAGCCGGCGCTCCTTCAACAGCAAACATCAGCTCCAGCAGCAGCAACATCAACAACGCCAGCAGCAGCAAACGGCAAACAGCAGCAGCAGCAGCAGCAGCAAGCAGCAGCAACAGCTGCATCCAGCAGCAGCAGCAGCAACAGCAGCAACTCCAGCAGCAGCAGCAACAGCAGCAACAACAACAGCAGCGACAGCAGCAGCAGCGGCAGCAGCAGCAGCAGCAGAGCAGCAGCAGCAGCAGCCGCCGCGCTACAACTGCATGCTGGAGCGGTTTGCGCCCGAGCCGGGCAGCACGCGGCTGGCGTTCGTGACGCCCAGTGTGAGCTGTGACTCGGACACGGCTACTCCAGCGTGGAGCTCGAGCCGGCCGAGTGGTGTCGTCGCGCCGGCGCGCCTTCCGACGCCGCCGCCCGTGACGTGCTCGCCAAGCGCAAGCGGCGGCACGGAGACAGCGCTGGACGAAGTGGCCAAGCGCCGACGCCTCGGCCACTGGCACAGTAAGTATCTCGGCTGGCGGCGGCAGGACGCTGGCGCCAGAAGCCCGGCCGACGGCGGCGGACGCGGCTGTCCGTCGGCCGGCCTGTGACCCGGTCAGGGGTCGGGCATGGGGCGGGACACGGTGGGCCGGTGACGGCTGTCCGCATCTCCCCCACCCCACCCCACCCCTTCCACTGACGGGCTCGGAACACGGCGGGGTCGCTTGTCTGGCCCGCGCGATAGCATCCCCGTGAATAAATGCGCTGCCAGCCCGCTGGCACGTTTTTGCCGTGACGATGGTATCAGTGGGCTGGCTTGTTAAGGGCGTATACGGGGCCGTAATGGGTGGGGCGGGCCTATCGCGGGGCTGGGCGAACAATGTGGCGGCGGCGGGGGGGAGGGGGCGGGGAAAGTCGTCCCGATTATTCCGGACCGATACGATCCTGTTGTGAGAATGTCCGATATGCCCGATACTGGGCAATCGCCGTCTGGCATCTCTGTGTACCGGCCGGTTTATATGTATCGATAGCCTGCCGCTTCTCAATTATTTATGACGCCATCATTTGTCTTTCATTCTCGTTGGACTGACAAGGATCAGCATTGCTTACGTATCTGGCATAGCATACCAGCTGCGGCAATAAAAAGAAGCCAGCTGGAGATGATGGCCATCTGTTTCGTTTCACGAATGCAGATCAGGCAAACATTTGATACTGGGACCGCCCGTATGAGATCACTATGCGACCCCCGCGCTCCGCCGGCGCCGATGGTAAACGACCCTGACCCGTGGACGTCGGCGGGACTGACAGGGAATGCGTGTTCTCCCGCGTTCGTCGGCACACACGGTGCCCCGAACGGAGCGGTGATCCCTCAGCAGCGGCCGTGTGCGCCGGTTGTCTTGGCAAGGTACGTCGATCGTAATCTGGCAGGCGATTCATCAGCGTTCCGCGCTCGCTGGCCGGGCACGGTCGCTCGGATAGGCTCGTCATTCAGCGGGCGATCGGACGATCGCGGCGCCGCTAGGAAATTGGAAATGAATCATTTTTTACGCCAGCCGGCGCCGGCCTCAATAACTCCAGCGCCTGTTGCCGCGATTAGTTTTCTGACAGCTACGGCGGAACGGTGGGGGTGCGTCGGCGGGGGACGTCGTTGTCAACCGCCCCTCCCCTCCCCCCCCCCCGATGCGTCGCCCCCGTTGTACCGCGTCGTCAGTCGTCGCAATGTCGTCGTTTTCTCCTCGCGCCGGCGCCTCGCATGGGTCGTAACGCATAAGTGCCCCGCCTTAACAAATCGACTCAAGCTGCGCCGGCGAGTTTGTGTGTCGCCCCAGCGCGAGGTTCTTTTGTCGAGCGGCGCGCGCGACGAATACAAATGAATGCGCAGAGGCGACGCAGTGCCGTTGCCAATTAGCCGGGAACGAAGGGCCCTGGCGAAGAACGGTTCGTTACTGAATGTACTTGAGCCTGCATGGCTGACTCGGAGCCGCTGCGTTCAATGGCTGACATTCAGGCGCGTCCCCTGATTGTCTGTCGCTGAGCCTGATGGCGCCCGACTGAGGGGCCAACCAGACCGTGCTGCCGTCAGCTCGCAACTCCCCGGCCCGTCAGGCCTCAGGTCCGTCAGGCCTCGGGTCGGTCAGGCCTCAGGTCCATCAGGCCTCAGGTCCGTCAGCCCTCAGGTCCGTCAGGCCTCAGGTCAGCCAGGCCTCGGGTCCGCCAGATCTCAGGTCCGCCAGGCCTCAGGTCCGCCAGGCCTCAGCCTGGACGCGCGCAGGACGGCGGTAATGAAAGTGTCACCCGCCGCCCTCCTGACGCCACGTGGCCACCCCGTCGTGCTGCTCCTGCGCCCGCGCAAGCGCGCCGCGCCCGCCGGCAGGAGTGGTCCGGAGCGAACCGCGCCGCTACCAGAGTGATTGGCAGGACTAATGAGGGGACCGCGGCGCCCCCGCCGGCACACTTCGGGGGGCAAATGGTTTTGGGTAAACAATGGCCCGCCTGCCGGCCGTGCCGGACCGCTCGCCAGTAAAGGCCTCTGATGGTTTACTCCGCAGGCGAGTTTTGGGAGGCCCCAGGCTGGTATCGGCCGGCTGTTGCAGTTGAATGGCGACGAATTTTCCGTGCTAATGGGCCACGGCACGCGGCGACGTGATGCCGGGAAATGGGATCAGTTTCCCCGCCTGGCTGGCCTACGCCCCGGCCGTCAGCGGCGCATGAAAGCGGCGTAATAGCATTGTCAAAGCGCTTTTAGGCTGGTCCCTCCAATTAGAGGGACCGTGCGGGCGCCCGCCCCGCTTTGGCCGCAGCCTCCGCCGCCGCTGAACGGCACGCAGGCGGCGGCGGCGCCCGTACGCGTTCGATGACTGCGCGCTCCGGGTGGTGCCGCCTGCCCCCGCCCCCCTCCCCTGCTGACGGCGTCAGCTGCGCCGCCGACTATCGCTCAGGCCACGCTTAATGAGCGCATTCCCGTGACAAATGTCATTAGGCGGCCGATGAAGAAGCGGCGCTATTGGGTTTGCGCCTGTCGGGGAGGCCGGCGGCCAGCTGGGCGCGGCCGGCACCGTCCGCCCCCCCCCCCCCCCCGCCGTCCCGCCGTCCCGACGAACGCCGCCTGGGGCCCGTCTGACGGAAGCCCCTCCCCCGGGGGCGGCGCGGCGCGATCGATTTCGCCCGTCGCCACCCGTCGGCTCTTAATCAGGACCCGGTCGGATCGTGACGTCACAGAAATGGCCTAAACTTCGCGAGGCGGCGCGGAAGTCTGGGTTCTTAAGTGCTCCTCTCAGTGCAAGGAAAGTCACAGTACGTCTGCGCGTAAGACAAATGTAGCATTTAATTAGACATGGGAAGGTAGCGTACTTCTGTTTGGTTCGCCGAGAAAAGGCAGAGAGTCAAACGGTGAGATGTCCCTAAACTAAATGTGCTGCGGTTAAAGTAAAAGGATAGAGGCGTGCTTTGGGGCCAGGGCATACCAAGAAAACGGCCTGAGTCGTGGGACTCGAAGGCAGCCGACATCTTTCTTTGATGTGTCAATACGTCACGCTCGGTTTGTTCCGTCCTGGTTATGTTCTGCACGGCTAACCGTAAAGTAGCGCAGTTAAGAAGATTCAAGCGTCGTTTCCCCCGACAGCTGTGAGCGTCTTCCCTGCAGGGTCGTAACGGTTATGATGGCCTTCGTCGCAGTTGTGGCACGTCGTGCCGTGGTTACGGACACGTAGAGCCGCAGCCTCAATGGCCCGCGGCACAGTTATGGCTGTTTATTTCACGGCTACGACCTTTCGTGTCGCCGTCGCGGCGTTTCAGAGGCCGACGCAGGCGGAGCAGAAGTGCCAGGGCACGGCGCCACCCACTTCCGGCAGTCAGTGAGCCTGTGCAGTCGCCAAGTAGGGAACCCGTGCATTTAACAACCAGTGAGTCTGCGAACTAACTGAACTTGAGGTCCGGGTGTGTTGATCAACACTGTAACGGTGTGATATACCGCGCCCAGAGTTGTTTGAGCTTGACTCGGGTTATAGCCGGAGCGGGCTACAGGAATCAACCACATTTTTGTTGAGTCAGGGTGGAATCGATTCCCCGAAATTGAATGCAAGTTAATGGTGTTTCAGTTTATATGTAAACCAGATGAAGCACCATCATCTGTGGCTCTCTTCTCTTCATATGTTGGTTACGTAATATTTTGCATCGGTTGTTCCAAAGCTCATTTAGTGACGCATATTATTCGCAGCTGTATGCCTCAATCGTGCGCCATTTCTTCTCGAGTTGGAAAAGGATCAAACCCAAAGTTATGCAGCGCCGCTCGATGTCCGAATCAGCCTCAGTGCCCTGCGAGTGAGAATCGATGTCGATTTTGGCATAAGTTTTGCATGCCCCAGTCACTCCTTTCAACAGCGTAAATGGGCATGGGAAGACTGTCGGCTGTCTCTCAACATTTGTCAACGGCCATACAGACTGAAAAACCAGAAACTTTTCGAAACCGTCCATTCACGGTCAGGAAAGCTTTTCTTCGAAGGAGTGACTGGCATTGAACCACGTCGTTCCTCGAAGGCCTTGCACGCGCCGCGTGCAACCGAGGGCCTATTTTGAGCGGCGCTGAAGCGAGGTCGTTTTCCGCACCTACCCCAAATGACACATGCTTGGTGTCCACGCTCCGCTGCCCGCCTGCGCTCGGCTAAACTCACGGCCGCTAACCGGGCCAGCGGAGCGGCGCCTCGTTGCTACACAGCTTTTTTCTCTCGCCGCATTGTCCCGCTTTCTTCTCACAAGCCCCCTGTCCCGCCCTGTGCACTGACTCGCTGACGTCACTCACGTTTGGAGTGACGCCACGAAGCCGAGGAGCTAAAAGCTCAAAAGGCGCCAAATAGGATGCTTCTCGGACACCGATCCGACACCGATCTGGTCGCCGGCGGATGGTAGATCGATGAAGGGATAGATTGCCGCCGGTTGATCACCGCAGGGATAAGGTCCGTGGGCCGATCCCTGAAGGATAAGGGAGGCCGGCGACGGAGCAGTGGCCGGGCCCGTGAGAACGGGGTCAGCTGCGTTATCGGCCACACGCCGGAGGTGACCAACAGGGAACACGGCAGCTGCTGTTCGAGGAACTGCCAAAAATGGTCCTGGGAACGAAAGTGTCAGCAATAGCAAACGGGAATGGTTATCATTTTCCCGCGGGAGTTGACTCAGTTGAATTCGAAAAACACACTTCAGCGGCACGCATGGGAAAGATGGCGGACGCCCGGAGCTTGACGTGCTTCGAGGTACGCTTCCTGGGTTCCTGACAGCTGATTTCCAGCGCTCCGCCGCTTCAGAACCCGCCCCGACAGCGCAGAGGCGCAGGTCCGCCCCGGTGGTCCCCGCCGCCGCGATGCCCTTCACGGCGGGCGGGCACCCGCTTTGTCATCCGTCCCGACCCCGACCGGCGCGAGTCCCCGCGAGTGCGCCGGCAGTGAGTGCACTCCGTCTAGGGGCGATGATGGCGGTGCTGAGACACAGACCTGGGGTGGCGAGGAAGAGGGAGGGGGCTGTGAGCCGCGGCCGCCCGCCCGTGGGAGCGGAACCACGTGGGCACGGTAGCACGGACAGGGTGCTCCGGTGGGACACGAGCACATGGGGCACGGGTGGCACGGACAGGGTGCTCCGGTGGGGACGCGAGCACGTGGGGCACGGGTAGCACGGACGGGGTGTTCCATTGGCGTGATGGTTCGGGGACTGACCGGTGGCCCGGTGGCTGATTGTACGGTTCCGACAACCGACGACACCGGCGCGGTTTGCAGTGCATTGTGAAAAGCCATGTCCCTGCTTCGCGTAATCTGTCGTCAGATACTTCGGAGGTCTTTGACTCCCCCTGAACACATGTAGTTCGCGACCCCGCCCCAACCGCGGACTATCTCTGGCCATCGTGCTGGGACTTTCGTCGGCTCATATCTTTGCATCTGTTCGCGACGTGTCATTAGGGCATCCGATGCGTCATTAGGGCGATGTGTCTGAGCGCATCGCGCCGCCACGCCGCTGACATTTTGACGCTCATCAAGAGTGCTTGCCTCCGAGCTGCCAGCGACTGGACATTAGGATCAGTCCCCGCCCGGCGGAGACAGGATCGGCTGGTAAACTTAGCCTGCTTCGAGCCCAACTTCAAGCTTCGGACCAGCCCCTTGATGAAACTCCGGACGTCCGCGACGGAACGCTAACACGACGGCGACATGCCTCAGCTGATGCAATCTACAGACGGAGCCGGCAGCAATCGATCCTTTTTCGGCGCCCGCGGTTCCAATGAAATGATTCATTGAGGACGTGCGTTACCCCGCGGTGGACATATTAGATATGCTTCCAGACATGGCCGGCATATGGAGCGAAGGGCCAGGGCCGGGCAAAGCGAAGCAGACTGGTTATACGGGGCTCCAGAGTCCAACATACTGCCAAACCGCAGGCAAGGCCGGGGTCCAGGATTAACGTCAAGTTCCAAAGCCGGCCGGGGCTCCATCTGGCCGGCCGTCGACCCGGTCACGTGACTGCGGTTCGCCCCAGGCGGCCTGTCGCGCTGACGGGTCGCCGGGGGCGTTCGTGACCCGCGGAGCGCGCCGGCCAGACCCGCCGGCGGCGGCGCCTGACGAGCCGCGCCTGTCGGCCTGATGACGATGGATCGCTCAATTGCCGGGGCGATCTCCCCCGAGCGGCGCCACCGGCGGCGCGGCGCTTGTTAGCGAGATAGGCTGCCCCGCGGCTGCGCCAGGCGCGAAATCGCGCTCGGGGCCGTCAATCTAGACGCCGGCACCCACGGCGGGACCGGCGGCGGACCCGCGGCCGCCGTGTCGACCCCACGCCGCCCCGCTCCGGCCGGACCCCGTAATCGGACGGCAAACAGTGCCGCGACAAGCCCGGCTCGCCCTCCGATGGGCAAATATTCGCCGCGTGTCATATTTGGTCGATCAGTGCTGCGAAATCGGCGCCACCCGCCGCGCTGGACACAAGGAACGGGGCTGCGGCGGCCGGCGGACGGTGGGCGCTGAGACGGCGCCGCCCGGCCGTGCCGCCGCCGCGGCCGTGAAAAAATATTTATCACCGGCGGGTAATAAAAAGCGCCATAAAGCCTAGTAATTTACAGGGCAGATGGCGGTGTGTTTTTCATATTTCGCTGTGTACTCAGCTGGCTACGACCTCTAAAATAAATGCGGCAGTTTCGCTAATGCCCGGATTACTAAGCACGGCAGTCGTTTATCATGGTGATGCGCTCGTGCTTAGCTACCCTTAGATCGCTACGAAGGAAAGTTGCCGGGTGTGGTGAAAATAGCGCTCATATCCTAGCCGTTATCTGCGTCATTAGTCGCGCTCCGATGCCGTATTTGCTCAAAACTCTGATGTGGCGTGACAGATAATCTGTTGGGCCATTGTGAATGACGATCCGGTCTTGCCATGAATAATAGTTCGCTGCAGCTTGGACGATCACCGCACCTGCTGTACCGCATTAAATCTGGCCGAGTGTGAATGATAACGTTAATCTAGTGTAAATGATCACTGAAGTCTGCCGTGAGTGAATAGACAGGCGCGCCGGCGCCGGGTGAGAGCCGGTCATTGATAGTCGCGCCATGGAGTCCGCTTTAAGGCCGCCTCGGCGGACGTCGCCCCCCCCCCCCCGAACCCCGGCGGGGGCGGGGGGGGGGGGGGGCGCCGACGCGCCGTCCGGTCCGCGCTGGGTGCGCCGCGGGATCCGTGCCACGCGGCATTCGTGGCGCGGCTTAACGGCGTCATTCAAGATTAACGTAAATGCAGAGTGAATGGCTCAATAGTATGTTCAGTGATGACCTGGACGGTCATAAAACACCGGCCATTTATGGCTAATGACCCCCAGTCACGAACGCGCCGCCTGAACCTGCGGGCGGTGAGAGCGGGAGGGAAACAGAGAGAGCAAAGGAGGCAGAGGCACGCAGACGCAGAGGAAGACCGGGAACTGCGCCAGAAAAGGGCAACGGTGAAGTCCCAAAAGGAGGTCAAAGCGATATGATGTTTCCTTTTAGGGCGTCCAGCTGCTCTGCCTCTGACCACCTGCTTGGCGTGAACTGCCTCTTCGAGTGAGCGGGTTTTCATCGCTGTCGGTATTTGTTCGTCGGAACGAGCCGCCGAGGCCAGCATCCGCCCCGCCGCGGCGGTCGGCTCTGTGGAAGTGATCCGCTCGGCGCCGCGTCATGGGAGCCTGCCCTGGCCTCACTCACCGGTTGTCCGCCCCAATCCGCCTATTCCGGCTTACGCGGCCCGAGCGGGGGCGCTCGAGTTTCGCTCGAGGTCGTGCTCTCGCGCCCCGCCCCCAGACAGGATGTTCCGACTCAGGCTCCTGGCAGCCGATGGGGCGCTTCCTGTCGGCGCGCTCTGTGCCCGTCGCGGCCGCGGCGCGCTGACCCGAGTCGGCGCCTGCGGCGCGACGGGGGTCAGCCGGTGACCTCACCCCGGCCGACTCGGGCCGGCTGACTCACCGCGACTCGGCGGCAGTCGCGCCCGATGAGTCAGGGTCTGCAGACGTATTGATCGTCGAGTAAGCGGGCTGTCCGGGGAAGGCTTTGCCTTTTTAAATCCGTGTATTACTGATGCGGCGTGCAGCATGCTAACGCAGACCGCTGACGGCTTAGCGTCTTTCCAGCCGCAACATGAGCTTAGGTTTTGCGGCTGTCTGGTTGCTGGATCAGATAATTATCACGGGATTTGTGTTTGACCTGCTGCGTCCGTGCATCTGCTACGAGATGGACGCCCTGCTTTGAAAACCAGTTTCCAACTGTTTGAACGGTTTGCACCGCCTAAACTATGGCTGGCTGGCTGGCTGGCCGGTCTGCAGCGATGCGGAACTAAAAGCTAATGTCATCCTCAGCCTCGTCAGCCTCTCCCGAGGCGCAGTGGGAGCGAAGAGTCTAACGGATGGATGTTACGGGGCAGGCCAGCAGCCAAAAACCTAGCTCGACGTTGTGACTGGACAAAACTGCGCTTGCAACCATGTCATCGTAAACTGGTGGGAAATCGGCAACATTGTCAACGTTTTTTTTTGGATTTGTGAGACCTGCGGTGTCGGCGTGGCTCCGGCGGTGAGATAGCGAGAGCGTGGTGAGACCGTCAGAAACCGGCGGAGATTTATTGGCACGGACACAGAGGAGCTGTGGGAGTTGAAGGATGTTGGCCGATGCGGCGTGGAGAAAGTCCGCCTTGCTTCTACCACGCTCCGGGGGCTAGCGTGGCACCCGTCCCCCAACCCCCACGCGGTGTTCCCCACCCGCCGGCCGGCATCATCCCCGCCCCTCCCGTGTGTTCCGCCGGCCTGTCAGACCGCGGTACCGAGACAGGCTTTACGGCCGCTCTCAAAGGATTCATTAACGGACGACTATTGATCGCCGAAGCGTCTAATCAGATGGCGGATGATTGGACAGGAATTCGATAAGCGGAGCGCCAGAGGGGGCGCACCGCAGCGCCATCGCAGTCATGTATTATTCCGGCAGCGGCATCCCCGATATCTGCGGCATTTCGGCGGCAGCGACGCAGAATTTAAAGCGCCGGCGCCGCGATCGCCGCACGATAGCCGAAACTCGGCGGCCGGCGCGGGATGGCGCGCGGCGCCGGCGGCGCGGCGCGCCGTGGGAGCGGCGCGCGCCACAATGGTCGCACTGTGCGCGCCGCGGCTGCCGGCGGAGGCCATCCGTCAGCGGGCACCGTCATTAGGCGATCGGTTATTTATAAGGCCGGCGTCGGGCGCCGGGCGCGCCGCGTTTATGCCCGGCCACAATGGCTTCCTTTGAGGCGGCGCGGCCGGCGGAATCAGCGGCTGTTTGCGTCGGGTCGCGCCGCCCCAGACGAGCTGCTCCACCGCCATCCCCGGGCGCCCTGAATGACGCGTAATGGCCGCCATTGGCCCAGCGGGGGCCCAACTGGCGCGGCCAGGTTCAATTCGGGGGTAAGTGCCCATCGGCGGACGTAATGGCGCGCAATTAGGAGCCGGGCTGGCGCGCTCGGTGTGCGTGTCGCCGGTCGTGGGCCGGCCCGCCGCGCCGCGCCCGTCGCGTGAAGAACGGCCCAGCGGCGGCGGATGTGCGCCTGACGACGCTCTCTCTCGTTTCAGACGGCGTCGCGGCGATGGAGATGGTGCCGTTCCCGCTCCAGCACCAGCAGCCGGCGGTGAAGTAGCCGGCGGCGCCGACCGGGGGCCGACCAGTGGCTGTGCGCGCAGGGCCAGTGTGAGCGCGGCTGAGGGCGCGGCGCAGGACGTCCGCGGCGTGCGGCGCCGCCGGCACCGGACGCGGGACAGAGCGCTCGCGCGCCCGGGCGGCCGAGGCGCCCGCCGCTACGCCCACTCTTCTGTGATTATCCCTTACCTTGCGTTCACATGTGATGTTATAGTGGCTTTCATAATCGGAGGGCGGAGTGGAGCGGAGCTTGGCCGGTGTGGAGCTAGCTTTAAATGGTTTCACGTTGTGTTTGTGGTTCCGTTTTGTTACTGGCGGCTGCAGGGTGTGGTGTTCGCTCTCAGGCCGAACCAGCCACTTGTTTGGTTATTTTAAACCTTATTGTTATCCCATGGTGTAATGAACGTATATAAACGAGGGCCTGTTGTCGGCTAAATATAGACCCAAAGTCATTTATCAGAGTGAGCCTTTTTGGTCGCCGGCTGGATCCGACGGTAGAGCCCGTGGATGACTGAGCACGGTGAATGGCCATTTATTTGTCTTTGATGGCGACTGTCTCAATTTCGAGCTATTTCACATTATCATGGCGGAATTGATGGCGAGCGTCCGAGGCTCGTCGGAGCGATTCCGAGTGACTCGGCCGCGGCGCCGCTTTGAAGACGCCGCCGACGGCAGTATAATCAAAGAAGCCCGGCAACATCTGCTCTGCCATTACCATAACAATGTCGAAAGTCGCCGTCGCGGCGCAGCGAAACCGTGGGCTGGTGACGGGACAGGGACGGGGCGAAGACGCTGGAGGGACAGGCCGGGCGGAGCGCCAGACCGGCGACGCTGGGGCCCGGCGCCACCCCGCCCCGGCCTCTTGGAGCGCCGCTGGGGGCTCGCGGACTGCGAGTGAGTCACAGTTGTCGGCACGCAAACCGCGACGCCAAGGTGTGCCGCGTCCAGCTCAGGCAGGCTTCGCTCGTCCCACGCGTTGCGAATGTTCGAGGGGAACCGCAGGTCGCCAGTGCCGGCCGGCCGGACGTTCTGCGGTGTCGGGTTGGGACGTCTGGGCCCAGTTTGGGTCCTCGAAATGGGAAACTTCCCCCTCCCTCCTCACGCCCGCCGCTGCGGAAGCACCCGTAGACAGTTGGTTGAGATAGATACATCAGGTTCAGCATTCGTGGTCTTCCATTTTCACAGCGGATGGAGACCAAATAGCTGCTCCTCGAGCGTTCATCTGGGATGGAGTTGAGCAACATGGCGATAAGCACGAATATCGTTGCATCATCCGACGGAAGCTGAGTCTTCTAATGAAAGAAAAACGTCCTTAAAGAAAATAACTTATCATGTAAAGGCAGGCGCCGCTGAAAACTCAGCTCGGAGAACTTTTAAAAAATTCAACTCAGGAAAATACTTTTCTCAGCTCGCGACAGAACATTAGCATCCATGCGCGTTTGAGCAAAGCACTGCCGTGGACCATCAGTCACTGCGGACCCCGTGTGACGCCAGTCTTCGTGGGCCTCCGAGGACTCCCGCCTCACGCCAGCAACGCCTTCGATGGCGGCCGCGCCCGCCGCACCTGGCGCGTTTTTGTGGCGGCAGCCGGCGGCGCGCGCCGCCAGGTCGCATACCAGGCCGCGGCCGCCAGTCAACGTCGAGGCGACGGCCCGTCGTGATCGACGCTAACCACCGACCAGACGGCGGCGGCCGGCTCGGCTGCAGCCCTCCCAGACGGGCCGGGCCGCCGCCGCAACACCGCAACACCGGCGCCGGTGAGAACGCGTCAGGTCACGGCGCCGAGGGAGAGAGGGAGGGGGAGGGGGGACGGTGTGGAGGCGCGGAGGAGCGAGGGGAGAACAAGACAGAGGAGGCGGGGAGAGGAGAAGGCAGAGGCAATTTGAGCTCCGGCGCGGTTCCCACGATGACGGGTAACCTCTGTGGACCCCAGGAGCATTAGCCCTGAGTGATGGGAGATGTTAACAACGTGCGGGCCGGAGATACGGAGGCGGCGGGGGTCCGGAGACCAGGCAACAACGGGCGGCTCACAGTGCCGAGGTGGTATCAGGTTGCCATAAGTGGCCCGGTGCGGCAGGCTCCTCTGTGAGGCCGTATGGTTCTGCTCATCGGCGTGGGTCGGACTTCAGGGTTATAGATAGATGGTTTGTCGGGGCTGATCGATAGTTGGTGGGAGTAGATTTTTGTCCCCGGCATGATGCATGGTGGAGCTCATCGCCACGCTACGAAGCACATCTGTCCGGGGCCGTGCACCGCCGGTCCTGATCAGAGCGTTCGCCCAGCTGTGACGTCGGACAAACCGCGGATCGGCCTCAATGCGCGCGCTAGCTCCGGTTTCGACAGATGAGGCCGTCTCGGAGCGTTTCCTGATCGGCAACGCTTCACGCGTCACAGTCAGCATTCCGGACAATGGCGGGCGGCGTGTCCCGCCTCATCGGCGGAATGAGAATGCGATCGCACCGCGCCATTCCGTCGAGGCGCCTCGCGGCCGGCCGGATGGACGCTTCGCCGGCGCATCTTGGCCGGCCAACACGCCATCTCCGCGATAGGGGGCCGCCCACAAGCCGGTCGCGTCGGAGGGCCCGCGCGCCCGCCGGCATCCAGCTGACGGGCGAGTCGGCGGCGGCGACGGCCCATTTCCGGCCGAGTTATCGACAATTCCCAGCCGTATCGGTCGCGTCAGTCGCCGTTGACGTATCGAGCTGCCAGCGCCGGGCGGAGCTGCCATATCTCGGCGGCGGCGGTGCCCGGCCGCCGAACCGATCGGCCCGGTCTGATCGGACGACGCCGACTCTGCCGATCGGCCGCGCCGTCC